AGTCACCATTATTAGTGTTGGCCGTTCTATGTATGCCAGGCAGCGAAGCGATGTTATTTTATTCAGGAGAGATCTAGCATTCAGGAGCATAATCGTTAGTAAACCAGAGTTATTGGGGGAGAGGTTAGCATGGTTACTTGTTACTATCCCTACGTTATGTTTGGAGGGGCTCTGAGGTGAGACAGATAGTCTGACAATTGATCTTCGACAACTTTCTCCATGATTCGCGAGACAATTGGGGTTATATTTATAGGTCTGTAATTGCGGACGTTTGCCTTATCACCGGATTTATAGTGTGGAATTATGAAGCTACCTTTCCACTCATTAGGGTGAGTGCCAGTGTCTTTAGACATTGATGAGAATTTAAGAAGTAAAAGGGGAATATCACCCACCGCTGTTTTTGAAGATTATTGAAGCGAGGCCATCCGATCCTGTGCTAGTGGAAGGTCTAAGGCTTTTAACTGCTTGTTCTATTAATTGGTTGGTGAACACTATGCTTCCGAGGAAAGAGCTAGTAAGGGGGCCGGTTTCACGGGGAATGCGCGTTTCTAAACTGAAGTTTGCAGACCACTCACTGAATATTTCACAGATGGTGGCAGGCACATTGTAGATAACTTTGTCATGAAGTAAATAGGGGATGTCCCTTATCGACTGCATTCGTTTTTTAAGAAGTGTTGTTAGGTTCTAAACTTTGGAAGTGCTTTCAAGTGCCCTTAATTCTTCGTCGAGGTCCTTTTGAGAGCGCTGGCGCTTGATAGATTCAAGAGACTCGTGGATTGAGTGCAGTAGTGATATATCCTTAGTGGAATAGTACTGTTTCTTCAACTTCCTTAACTTATTGCGGCATGCCCTCGGAATGTACTCAGCTTGGTGTCTACTTAATTTCACTACCTTATTAGGAGCAGCAGTATCTAGACAAAGGATAACATTCCTGTAAAATAGGAACACTACAGCCTCAAAGCAGTCAGTGGTAAAGTATTCATCCCGGTGACAGAGTCGAATGAGTTCTTGGACTAATCCCCAGTCTGTATGTTTGTAACTACGACATATCATGCTCCCTGAATCCTGATGTTTCCTGTATTTAGTGGCGAGAAAGGCAGAAAGCAGAGTACCATTCTGTGGTCACTGCTGGAAAATCTGTTGCGAACATAGGTGGAGACTGAGATTGTGTCATGACAAAACACAAGGTCCAACATGTCACCACGAGTAGGTGTCTGGACGTGTTGCTACCATCCATAACAGTCGATAGTGGCAAGTAATTCGTCGAAGCGTTGGGGGCCAGAACTACTTAACCAGTTGACTACTGGAAGATTTGAGTCCCCTGCAATTATTTCGTAATTTGGCCATCGAGTTAAATAGTCGATGCAGGTTGAGATAAAGGTGTATCCATGAGATTCAGGAAGGGGGCCAACCAAATCTACATAAACGTGTTCAAAACAACCATCAGGAATAAGAAAGCTACCAAGAGGGCTTTTGGTGTGTCTTACTTCCTTGCACTTTTGCAAGCTAAGCACATTAATATAAGAATAAAACTTGGGCACTGTCGTAGAATGTAATTCCACTATGGGTAAATTTTTATTTTGATAGAGTCTCACAGTGTTATACAGTAATATTTACTGATGACGTTTCGAGCACAATTTATTGCCCATAATCATATCAAGGTAATCACACGACTTCCTAAATTCATTTATATATATATCTGGACCAATAGTGTTACTAAGCTTAGTACATAGCCAGAAGTTTTCTGCCGAATGTGCTGTACTTCGTTCTTGCTAATTGTATGCGCCTCGAGAAAAAGACTAGTGATTACCATGCCCCGTTGACTAGTTGTTGCAGAACTGCACCGACTGCACTTTCTGATGCATTAACCGAGATACTTGACGGTGATATATAAGAAGTGTGGCATCTGCAACAGCTTTTTTAACCTGAGTGAAAGCATTTTGAGCAGACGCGTCAAGTTCGATGGACTTGTTGCTCCCTTGAAGAAGGTCTGTTAATGGCTGATTTGGGGAATCACAGTTAGGAATAAACCGTCGGTAATAACTTACCGAGCCGTTAAAAGTGCGCAGACTTCTCACTGTCTGTGGCTCTGGAAAGTTCAGTATCGCCCCAACTTTTCTAACCAGTTGGAATGTACTCTTGCAGTTAGTGATGTGTTCCCGAAGTCGAGTTAGTCACCGGCTATCTGGCACCCTTGAATAATAATGGCAACACAGTCTAGGCGTGACTTTTCGAATGCCAAATCGAAGTGTCTAGGCTTAGTTTCCTTGTCACGGCTGGCTTTGAGGCAGTCGTCTATGTATGTGTATACTCTGTCAGTGATACGTTGGAATATTTCTGCTGCATTCCGGAGACCGAATGTCATATGTAGAAATTCAAAAAGTCCGAATGGCTTGATGATAGCCGTTTCCGGAATATCCTCTTGTGCCATGGGGATTTGGTCATACGCTTTAACCAAGTCTATTTTCGAGAATATAGTTGCACCAGATGGTGTTGCCGTCAAGTGGTGTATGTGAGGCAATGGATAACAGTTAGGGTTTGTTTTTGCGCTCACCCGCCGGTAATCACTAGTGAGTCGCCTATCGTTGCTGTCCTTTTTCGGTATCATATGCAGTGGGGATGCCCATGGGCTATCCGATGGACGAATGATGCCAAGAGTGAGCATGTGGTCGAATTCATTTCTGGCGAGTCGTTGTTTGTCAGGAGCAAATCGTCGAGCTTTAGATGTTACGGGCTGTTCTGAGATTATGACTTGATGCATAACATTGCTGGTTATGCACGTACATCGTTGGACAAGCAAATAAGTTCCAGGTACTTATCAACAATCGGTTCGAAAGTTAGATGAAGGATTGTCTTCTTCTTAACGAGTGACAAGCTATGGCCTACGTAGGTGATGCCTCTAATAAACAGTCAAGCAGTATCGTCTGTCAGTCGTTTTTGCGGAGGTCTACGAGTAAATCATGATGATTAAGTAGGTCCGTGCCAATGATGGGCATTGTGGCGTCAGCGAGAAGGAAAATCTACTGAATATGTTTCCGTAAACTCACGTCGACATACACGTATTTCCTACCAAAGGTTGCAACTGGTTTTGCATTCGCAGCCTGTAAAATGAAAGTAGGTTCCTTCTGTCGACCTGCCGCTGTAGCAGGAAGGATGCTGACTTCGACACTTGTGTCGACTAAGTGTCGGGTCTGCTTGACCACATCACGAATGTAAAGTAGGCGGCTAGTGCCACCGGTGACGGTTGCCGCTAACGCGTGCCGGCGGGATAGTTTCCCACAGTCTTTGAGACATTGCCGAAATTACAAGGTTTTCGGCAACATTTCGCTTCCTGGCCATAGGTGTTGTGATACCAACACCAGTCAGGAATTTTAGTGAACGTGGCTTGGACTTAGATCGATCACGTGGGTTTCGCCATTGAGGGGAGTTTGGACGACGGTAGCAGGAATTACAAGGCATGCCTGACCTAAGCATCTGCTGGATGAAGTTGCATAACTCTGTAGCTGCAGTATCCCTACTCGAAGTCTGTTTGGCAACTGAGCATACTTCAGTAACTGGCCGTTTAGTTATTTCCGGAATTTTATCTGCAGAAACAGCTAAGTCGTTTAAAATAACGCCCTGAAGTGTCACCAGCGCAGCCTGTGCTGACTGCGGCAGTTTGGATAAGAGCAGTTCTCTGAAACGTTTTTCGTCATAGTGACGTTGGCGAATGACTTCCCTCGTTATTTTCAGCATGCTCACAGCCGACTGATAACCTAACTCCAAGTTGGGCCCACATTGTCGATCCATGAGAACGTTTCTCCTAAGCAGGGTTACTTTAAGCAACTCATACGAGTTACTTACCTCTGGACTCAACATCTTCACAGTTGCTCATCTGGTTAATTTTTCGCGGTAGGGCGTGGACAGATGCAAAGAACTGTGAACGTTTGTCAGTTAACCTATGTTCACTAAAATCAGACTCGGCTATCTGAAACCATGATTCAGCATTATCTGGCCAAAATGGCACGAGCTGAATAGCTTTGGCAGTTGAGCAAATATGGATGACCTCAGGAGTATGATCACTGATGGCGGAATATATATAGTTTGGAAATGGTACAAGAACAAATATAAAATGGAACGAACTCACTGGATTTGTCTGTGTATTCAGCAAAAATGAAGTTCGCAGCAGGGCTCACCAGTTTAGAGGCTAACGGTATTGGCGTTCACGGTTAGTACGAAGCATACTAACTCAAGATCTAATACCCACCACTTCTATAGTATTCGTTCCGCGTAGACCCAAAGGCAAAGCAAAACACCAAAATTGATCGTCCAAATTACAAGTTATATTTCGGGACCAAATCGGAGTGCGAGATGGTTGCTTAACTAGCTAGGGAACGTGACACGGCAGCGTACGAATTAGCGTGGATGCTTGACCGGAAGTTTTCAGCTAAATAGGATGACTTAAACAGTGAGGGTCAGCATCAAATGTTCAGTGATGAATGATGTGGCCAATAATTCTGGGGAATCGCCTACCGCTACAATCTCATGTGATTTTGCTTGGAAAAGAGACCGAGGTCGTTCATGGACTTGGCCTTCGTGTTTATCTCACACAACCCTTCCTTCTCCTGAAAAGAGATGAATCTGTCATCAGAGTGAAGTTCGACGTCTTACCTTGGACAGTAGGATGTACGATGGGTAACCACCTTGTGATGGTTGATGACTGCGATAACAAGTCACTATTCTCATGTTTCCTCTTCCTGCCTGCCTTTACTGGAAATCACTAGTCATCTTCATGGATTGTGCAAATGATAGCACTGAGGTTTACACCACAAGAGATGAAATTCAGTAGGAATTTGGTAGAAATTCACGCCCATTTCGAAGTTGAGTGAATTTTTATCAAAAAGTATGTGAAGAATGTTTTAATTTTATTTTACATATTGTACGTTTAAGTAAAGAAATCAAGACTGAGAATTTATTTCTTAACAAAAGTATCGTTCAATAGATTAGTTAGTTTAGACTATCGAGAAAATGGCGGAAGTCATTGGTATCAGTTACATATTAGCGCGAGGTCCTAAAGCTGCTTGTTGATTTCTCCTGCTGACTATGTCAGAGAGCATTAAAGTTATCTGCCGCGTGAGGCCACTTAATGAACAAGAGAAAGCAAATGACAGCAAGTTCGTGGTGTCATTCCCCGGTGATGGAAACACAACTGTATCTCTTGGGGTATGTTTGATGGTTTTTAGTTTGTGACAACTCTTCTATCTAGGGTAAAAACTATAGCTTCGATCATGTAGTTCAGCCGAAGGCATCTCAGTTAGAGGTGTATGAAGTTGTGGCCAAGCCCATTGTTGCAGATGTGCTGAACGGATATAATGGGACAATATTCGCCTATGGTCAAACTTCGAGTGGAAAGACTTTTACTATGGAGGTATGACATTCTGCTTTCTGATTGTTTCTCCTCAGGGTATTTTAGGTGACCCAGTCTTTCAAGGTGTTATTCCGCGGATAGTTCACGATATATTCAACCATATATACCAAATGGACGAAAACTTGGAGTTCCATATTAAGGTAATGTTTGTGATGCTGTTCTTATCTTCAGGTTTCTTACTTTGAAATATACATGGAAAAAATCCGTGATCTGCTTGATGGTAAATTTTTCGATCTAATTTATATCTTGATTCAGTTTCGAAGACAAACCTACCGGTGCATGAGGATAAAGACCGAGTTCCTTACGTGAAAGTAAGCTATAATTCCTCCTAACGAGAATCTCCAAGGGTGTCACGGAAAAGTTTGTTGCCACTCCAGAAGAGGTTTTCGATGCAATTGATGAGGGGAAGGCTAATCGTCATGTAGCCGTAACTAGTAAGTATTTCATATTGATTCTATATTCCATGTATTCGTACTAGTTAGCATGTGTTTTGTACTGAATCAATAATAACCTTTTCTCATAAAGATAATGATGACATGCTTAGTGAGGCTTCCAGGAATATTAGATTCGTAGTGTGTCAATGTGAAAGACATCTCTTGGAGGTAGTAATTTTCTGCGTATGCTTAAAGTTTCGCTTTGATTTAATTGTCATTGCTCACTGTCGTATTTCGTGAGGTTGCAAATAGCTATTTCACAAAAGTGTTTGTCATTTCTGGAGATAAAATTATAATCGTTGTCGTATTATCCTGCTTCGACCGACTACTGTTTGTTGAAGTAGGGTTCCCAAATATGTCAGCTTTATCACTTGATCTTACCGTTTCTACTGGAATCTTACGTGATTATATATGCAATTTAAGTGATCTTAGAATCTATGTCCTATAACTATGTTAAGGTTGTTTAATATTGCGTTTTTAATTTGTGACTTTTTATCTATGTGTAGACATGAATGAGCACAGTTCTCGGAGCCATTCAGTATTCATGATCAATGTTCGACAAGAGAATTTGGAAACTCAAAAGAAACTACATGGGAAACTTTATCTTGTTGATTTGGCTGGTAGTGAGAAAGTTGCGAAGACAGGCGCTGAGGGTACTGTGTTGGACGAAGCCAAAAATATTAACAAATCGCTTTCTGCTCTTGGTAATGTGATCAATGCACTTGTGGAAGGAAGTGTAAGTTTATACTTTCAGGTGGTGGTGGTAGTAGTGCTTGTATTCTAGCCACTGTTGACTTTGAATTTCCACGTGATTATGACACGTGAGATATTGAATTGTTGTATTTTGATCACGTATGTGCTCACTTTTTAGCAGAGTTCTGTACTGTGTATGTTTCTGAGGCAGGAAAATCCGTCACACTAACTCATATTTTTAGCCTCTACGGTGACCTGAATCTCTTGTCTGTATATGTTGTACTTATTTGAAGATAACTCCTACTGCCTTATCAAGCTATTGATCTGTTAAATAATTTTCTGTTTCAGTCTCATGTTCCTTATCGTGACTCTAAACTAACTCGCATTCTTCAAGAATCTCTTGGAGGTAATGCACGAACAACTATGGTGATTTGTTGTTCTCCTGCTGGGTACAATGATGCCGAGACGAAGTCCACCCTAATGTTCGGTATGCGAGCTAAAACCATCAAGAATCTGGTAACGGTTAACGAAGAACTTACGGCTGATGAATGGCGTAGGAGGTATGAGCGAGAAAGAGAGAAAGTTAGGAAGTTGCGCAATATTGTAAGTCATCTGGAGAGTGAATTAAAACGTTGGCGAGCAGGTAAGAAATACTGTGACTGTTTTCTGTTTAAGTTTAACTTGAAGATTTTAAAATTAAGGATTCAAAATTATATAAGCACGAATTACCAGTTTAAGCTGTTTCTGTATCATAGTTATGTTTACTTATTTTTTTAAAAGTTGTATCTTAGTGAGTAGGAATAAAGAATGTAAAGGATGGGAGTGTGAATGAATAGCACAGTGGGAAAGTAAGATATTGCCCAGAGCAGATTTCTCGTGTATCGGGTCGTAAGCCACACATATTTTGTGAAAATTAATGTTGCTACCAAGTTGGACAGGTTGAGTTTGATTTAACAGGATTTAAATTCCGAACCCATGGACTAAAAATGGAGCGCTTAAGCGAATCAGCCTCACGCCGATCAGAACCTATGGCTAGAAACTCCTGGTGATAGTGTTCAGAATTGATCGCAGTGATGATAGGGGTGGATTCATGGTTTGTGCCTATCCTTGTTATAATAGCTCATTTCTCTATTTACATTATCATCTATTTCTTCGTTTTATCCTGCTTTACGACCGATTAGATTATTTCCATCCTGTTGTCTAATTATCTGCTTGATGTGCGTTGATGTATGGCTGATTGTGTTAAGTATGTAAAGTTGAGTTAATGGGTGAGGAGGTCGAAAGCCCGCTCTGCTTATTTTAGCCTAGGGAACTGGCTATTGTCACCGGTCGTCATCTGTCAAATGTAACTCATAAAGGCGGTCGTAGGAAATTGAGTTATAATTTAATGTGGAGAAATGGCATGTTGCAGTTAAGATCACTAGTGGAGTAATATTATGTCCTATTTTGGTATATTGACAATGCGGTCACAGGAAATCACTCCTATCATATTGAACTCATGTATATAGACTGAGGAAAGGTGTAATAGTTCCAGCGAACATTGTGCATAAATATAGAAGTTGAATTGAACGTAGTTTTTGTTGTCATATAATCTGTGTTATATATTAAATTTCAGGTGAAACTGTTAGTCAAGCTGAATGGTTCACGGAAAATCAATATGCTGGCGCTATAGACGATACAAGAGATTCGATAACTACACCTAGTGTCCCCAGTACACCAATGCTAGACAGCGTCTCCACTTCTACACCACGATCTACTGGCCTCACAAATGCATCTCCAGGTAGTCTATTTCGTCTCCTGTTGGTTATTGTCCTTTCATAATACTTTGTGTTAATACTGTGTGTTATTTTCATTTCATATTTCACCTTATGTTATTGAGGAGTTTTGTGTAAGTCGGTGAATCTAGTGACTTCTAACTTCCCTTCTCCACTATGTTTTGTTAATGTAATGAAGTAGTGATATTTTTCTTCTCAGTTGGTGAGGAAGTTAGCACTTTAGGTAGCTTTGTTTTCCCAATGTAGACATTGGTGGTAGAACTGTAGCTAGGGTTGCAGAAGCTGTCTGATCTAAGACGAAGCGGATTGCGTCAACTTACCGACAGGGTAGCTCCTCAGGTGTTTCAAGATGAGGGTGATGAATAGTGGAGTGGGATAATTGGTGGTGTTCTAGCCAATGTGGGGGGGGGTCTTAGATGGTCTCATCAGATTTATGCAGATGGCCAGGCTTCCCCTGTGCTGATCAAAGGGGATCAGACTGGTTGATATTGCATCCAGGATACTTGGGGAAATGAAACAGTCAAGCACACAGACTGCAGTTCTGGGCAAAGGTGTATTATCATGTCCTCTCTGCTCAACAGTTTTTGAAAACAAACTTGGTTTTTAGAGTCCAGTATTTGACATATTTCTTGACCTAAGCGTAGAATTTGACTTCATCCGACTTACTGAGGAATGATATTGGTTTATTCCAGCAGCCCTACTCAGGTATATGCAGCTGTTTTGAGGGTATATGGAAAGTTGTGTGCGGTTGGCGATGATCAGTGTGCTTGCACTAAGAACGCCCGCTATCACTATCCGTACTTAATTTAGTTTGATGAATGACGTATTGGTGTTTCTTTTACATTGATGTCAGTAAGCGTAGTGACTCGACATTGCAACTAATTCTGTTACCTCTTGGTACTCGTCAGAAAGATATACCGTCAACATCGGAGGAAGCCTGTGATTTACAATGATGCGTTACTCATCACCGACATCTGCAACGTTGCTACAAAGCTTTTTAGCCCAAAACTGACGTAAGTATCACCTTATTGAGCTTAGTAACAGCATCATGTACATGATTAATGAGTTTTCATCGATGCTTATGACTGAAGGAAGTCTCGAATTGACCATTGTGCACTTCTGTCAGTGTAGTGATTGTTGGTGTGAATATGTGGGGGTGTTTAGACAGCCTGACTGACCTGAAGGTCCTTGGAATAGTGAAAGTCATTAACTAGAGACCCGGCACGGAAACTTTAACTTCTGTGTGGAGCTATGCTTTGATCTGTAATTCAAACAGGGAGTATCTTCTTCACCGAGTAAGCTTACTAATTAATGTTTTAACTATTTGACTGACTGATTGGTTGTTGTTTGTGTGTATTTCTGACTGAACTGACGGCATTTTGGCAACCAAGAACGTGTTGTTACAATTCAGAAGTGGTTATTCTGTTGTATTCCCTTTGTGCACTGTGTTGTCATATACGTCAATTTTTTATTCTGGTATGTGAAGTTATGAAAATGTATTTGATGCTTTGTCAGTTAATTTTGGATATAGCTTTGTTTTATTTAAACCATTACATGCTCTTTCTGTATAATAAATACTATATGGAATGTTGATCAGCATGTGTTTTTTCTCAGCCCGCACTTCCGGTAATGTCAATCTTGGAACTATCGGTGCTTCAGGAGGAAGTGTTGGAGATGAACAGTTGCAGTTGCTTTATCAGCAACTTGACGACAAAGATGATGAAATAAATAAGCAAGCTCAGACAATTGCACGTCTTCGCCAGCAAATTGAAGAGCAAGACGTGGTGAACAATTCTTTGCGTATAGAACGTGAGGGACAATTAAAAGAAATTACAACTCTTCAGGTAAGTGGTAATACATGTTATGAACTTTGTATAAATTTATATATCCATGGAAGTGTATTGAAAGGTGATACATTTTAGCCGTTATAATTAACTGCTTTTATCATTTGATTGGTTTTCTGAGGTCCGTTGTGTTGCTTTTCATTAGAGAGTAGAAGGCGGTGGGTGGAGGTTGAGAGAAGGCAAGACTCAATGGCCACTTGGATTTCGACGAAGTTGTCGATGAGTCACACCTATTGTATGTGAGCGCTAGTGGTACCAATAGTACCTTGCTAGTGGTTGCCCAAACCCTTTGTAGGAAAAGTAATATTCTTAGCGCGTTACCCACTGGCTGGTAGTGGAGTAGTGGAGTGAGTACATAAAATGTATGAGCTCCAGTTGCATCCTTGTTTTTCATTGAATGTGAATACTATGTGATGGGCATATATGTTCTTGTGACTGTTGTTTCAGATGAGCTTCTTGTTAAAGTGGTGTTTGATATTAGTTAATGATATAATAGTGTTTTCCTGTCATATTGTGAAGAGGTTTTTTTTAGAAATTATTTTTGCAGTGAATCTCTCCTGTGTTTTCATGTAAACTGGTTTAAAGTGCTTTCTTCCTCCTCAGAGTGCATGTTATTTTGTTTGCTTATTCTGGTGAACTTTCAAGCAGTAGTAACAGTAACAGTGGTAAGAGTAGTAGAAGTAGTAGAATGACTGTGGTTTGACTTTACTGGTAAAGATGATGATGGTGTAGGCATGAGTTTTCATCATTCATAGTGGATGAGTGAAATTACTGAACTCACGTGGTTCTTACACACTAAATTGGGAAAGGCTATAAATAGATGAAATGTGGAAAGACATTGTGGAAACTTTCAGACTGAAGGGTAGGTGTTTGTCTTAAGTCTAACCGTTTCATAATTATGATGAATCGGCAAGTATTAGAGTACTGAAGTTATTTCCCTCTTCTTTCTAAAGCACATGATGACTGCCACTCGTTTTTGACAACCAGCAACTTGGATTTTGCCTATCCACTAATCTCTCTATTCTAGGTGGTGTCAGTTATCCAGTTTCTTCCTTACTGCATCCTCTCTCCCTCCTCACCCCGTCTGCTCTGTAGGAAAAATACTTAGCGAAGTCTACATAACTCACATAGTATTGTATTGATAGAATTATTATGCTGACAGTTTTGTTATTTTTGTGAAATGTTTCCTCTAAATGGATCTTTTTCTTCACTCATTGTATGTGTGTGTGTCAAGGCTGAATACCAGTCGAGCAAAGATGAAGTGAAGGAAGTCCTGCAAGCCTTAGAAGAATTAGCAATGAATTATGACCAAAAGGCTCAAGAGATTGATGCAAAAGCGAAAGAACTTGAAGAGGCTCAAGAGTCCTTGCTACAACAAACCCGTTTAATGCATAGTAAAGACGGTGAATTGTCACAGTTGAAGGATACACATCAAAATCAGAAGAAGAAATATACTGAAATGATGTCTAGCCTATTGAAGGATCTAATTGATGTTGGTGAATGCTTGAATGATCAAATTACGGTAGGTTTAAAAGTATTTATCAGTTTTGTGTTATCATTGAATGGGTTCTTATTCCAAGTATGTGAGCAGCCTTGGGTAGGGAAGTAATAATGGCATATATACTAATTTGATAAGTCTACTATGGCGGGATGAGCGTATTATCGTCTTATAGAACCTGGTCTATTCGCATAAGTCGTTGTTGCCACATTAAATTACATCAGTGGAGTAAATAATAAGAAGTAACATGATGGGATGGATGGATTACTATGACGTCTTGGATCGCACCCAAATGAATGATAACGCAACACACGAACTATCTTTCTCTCTACGGCACCACGTCCTAGACTGACCACCTCTTCTCGTTTCGCTTTCAGTCCCAAGACTGTGAGACAGTGAATGGTATAGAAGCCATCAGGACAGCATTTGTAGCACGTGTTGAAGCCACCGAAGACACCGTCGTTAGGTGATATCGGTCGGTCGGTCGGTTTTCGACATAGAACTTTGCACATATGTGCGGCAGTTCAAGTCGCCACACTCCATGTTGCACACAAAACAAGAGAAGAAAGTAGAAAAATGCATAGTATAGACGGTAAACAGAGGTGAGAGACAAAGGAATAGTAGTAACGAAGAACAATAGAGTTTAATTGGAAATCATGAGTCACAAGGAGTGGATGCATCTGCGCCACTGAGAACGATTTTGAGCCATGTCACCAATTGTTTCCAACCATTGGTTTTTACCGTCCCGAGGACCCCAACCAGGAAGTCTACATCTTCCTACGTGGCTTAGACTAACTTGTGGATTTCATTGACTGGTACCATGTTTTGGTTTGACCGCCGCTAGCTCTTTTCCAGCCTGGCCCTATGTCAGCTAACATTGCCCATTGTCGAGGAAGGCGATGACTAGGCATACGTAACACATGTCCCAGCCATCTTAGTCGATGTAATTTCACAGTCTCGTCGACTGATTTCCCCGCCTTACTTAGCACTCGATGCCTAACCTCAATAGTGCTCACCTTATGATACCACTTCACGCGGGAGATAGAACGCAGACACCTATGATCGAAGACAGCTAATCAGCCTTTTTATGTCTTCCGCTCTCAATGGCCATGTCTCAAAGCCATAAAGGAGGACGGAGCGATCTGTTGAGCAGTACACACGCCCTTTGGTCGATAGTCGGATGTCACGTCTACGCGAGAGACGGCGTAAACGGGCATATGCGAACCTAGCCCTCTGTATTCGTGTTGAGATTTCGTCGGAGATCAACCCGTTGGGGCTGATGGTACTTCCCGAATAAATGAAGCGGTCAACGTACTCTACCACTTCACTTCCTATTTCTAATCTAGGGGTCGGTGAAGTCCAATCCTGCAGCATCATCTTACATTTTACAGGGGCGAATCGCATGCCAAACATACGAAGATTGTTGCTCAAGGTGTTCAGTAGACTCTGCATTTTGTCAGCGTCCTCGCCTAGAAGGACTATATCGTCCGCATATTCTAAGTCGACGAGATTATTCCCTGGTAGCAAGTCAATTACTTGTGAGAGAGGTAATATGCCTACCAATTTGCTTATACTTCTTTGCAAACAATCTGTGTTGAAATTCAGTCAGTCAATTGTCATAAAAACATCCATTCAGTTTCAGTATTATTTCATCCGAACTTGCTGCCTATTGTGTTATCAGTGCACAAAAGGACATCCTTCCTCAATAATTATAATCGTATTATCTTTTGTTTTATCCAATCTTCGTGTTTATTAGACTTTGTAATTTTATTAATTTGACCGTTGACCGATCGGAAATAGTTTTCTAACTTTCTCACCCATTTTCTATATAAACACACAAATTTACAGCCGAGTTGATGACTTCATCGAAAGGAATATTTTCTTGTTTGCAACAGTCTTTTTGATTCAGTACAGCAGAGAAAATATGTTTATATTAGTGAGTGTAATTGAATAAAAACGTAGTCGAATTAGTTACTTAGTTAGTTTATTGGTTAGTACGTTGGACTATTGTCTCTTCTCATCAGGGAATATTTCTCGAAACTTTCTGAGACGAGAAGTCAATAACTGAGACGTGCATGTATATGTGGCTAGCAAAGAAAGTTCTCTGTATAGTTGACAGATTAATACACTCAACTTCCTGCAGTGTAAAGTTGATTGTGATACACGACGGAAAGCAACAATAGATAGGCTTACTGTGCTGCCTATTCTGTTTCATTGACTTTCTGTTAAAAACAACGGTATTATACTTCAAATTTGAGTCCCGCGTACGAATCCCATCCAACCCCAACCTTCACAGAATAAGTTCAGCTCATGGTCTAATGTTACTAGAATTGTGTAATTGGCCAGTTCATTTCTGTATGCATCGCCCTCGTCATCATCAAACTTACTTTACTTTACTTCGGCTATCTCCTACGGGAGGATGAGCCGGCTTCATGAACATCTCGAATCATCGCTGCCCAGGCGCGGCGATCTGATACATGGAGTTCATGAAGTTTCATGGGAATTTGGTACGAGTGATGTCCCCAGAATCGCTCGGCCTTTTGTTTGAGAGTGCAGCTCTAGCCTTTACACAACCAAGTGTGACCTACAAGGCAGTAGGAGTGGAGTAGGGAGTCCACTATCCATTGGCAGCCGGTGACCGGAGTTCGGTTCATACGCCTTTTTGAATGGGGCCAGACATCCAGGACATCCAAAAAGCCCTTTGTCCATACGTCTGCCGGTGAGCTCCAGTGAGCTTCATACGCCAGTCGTTGGAGGTTTGGAATCAGGGTTTAGCCATCTCCCCTAGACTGTCATCCAATGGACAGTCACCCCGGTGAAGAGCGCCGGGTATCCGCTTTCGCCCTCTCACTTTGGTGAAAAACACCTCCGCCACGTGAAGGCAGTGAGTAGGACTTCCTCAGGAGAGGCTATGTAAGACGCCCGGTCATATGGGAGCATTTCAAGAGGTGTGCGGAGGGGTGGCCAACCCGCAGCGCAAGGCACCCACCCCTGACCATCCTGAGGCTTTGGATACCTTGTGATACCTTCTGAAAGTGAATATTTTGTTTCAGGAAATCTGAAGATGGATTTCTACTGTTCCATTTCTCTCCCTCTCTACGAAATCAACTCTTGAGTAATAAACATTTGTTTTGTGGCGGCGTATTGTAGTTTGCATAGAAACACTGTATGAATATGTTGGCGCTGTACACTGTATCTGTAAATGAGAGTCATCCAGACAATGACCACTAACAATCTCGATTGAATGTGTATTCTATACATGTACCTGACTGTGCTATATTAATATGTTAGTATATCAACGATGTTAATAGACGTTGTTATAAAGTTAGATAAAGGCGTTCTGATCTTTGAATTGATATTTCTGTCAGATATAACTTGAATGAATGCATACCTGAGTTAATGTGATATCTGATATTGTTGGTGAATACTTTACTCTGTGGACATAAGTTTCATGGTTGTTGTTGTTGTTGTTGTGGCCTTTGAGGAGAGAATTCTGTCTCTCAGGGATATGAACCCCTGTGACATTGTATTACAGTCAAGAATATTTCCACTGACCTGTTGTAATTCACACGTCGTTTTGTCTCAGCTAGATTGATAGTAGTTTAGTGAGTGTTTTGTCGACTATGTTCAGTTCACCGGGTAGGATTGGATGTCATCATGGGGCTAAATAGACTGTTGAACCTAAATCCTCTCCGGTGGGATTGATTACTCTGGAATGACTAGTCAGTTTGCAAAACTTCATTTTTATATATGATTTATTATTTCTCCTCTGACAGTTTAGTATAATTTCTCGTTTTTTTTTCTTTGCCTCTCTCTCTTTTGTTTTCTGTTGACGACGACGACGACGACATCAGAAACCGTCTGTTGGTTCTGAACGATTAGATGAAGAGTTTACTGTTGTTCGTTTGTATATAAGTAAGATGAAAAGTGAGGCGAAATCACTGCACTCACGTGTACGTCAATTGGAAGAGGAACGTGTACAGCATGTACAGTTAGTGCGTAAGAGCGATGATGAATCTAAAGATCTTCGAACACGACTTCATGCTGTAAGTCAAGTATATATATGTTGTATTTTTATGATGAGTGACATGTGGTTGTATGTGTTTGTGTGCCTGTGTATGCGTTGTCACTTTGCTGTTTTCCTACTAACTGGTAAGATTTAGATGTTATAGACTGGTGAAGTTGTCGCTTTTCTGGACTCCGTCCATCGACAAATGTGTAGATACATGCAGTCGATTAATAATAATAGTTCAGTCGGAATGAAGGCCAGTTGTTGTCAAGTATTGAGGTATAGTGGACAGATGATACATCGTGGCTCGTCGGCATAATCACTTGATTTTCAGCCAATAATAGGCGCAGGATTATAATACTACTCTATCTGCTCTTCAGCCCTGAGAGCAACTGGTTTGTGTCACCATCGTTCTCTCTCCTTGTGTGCCTCTCGTATACTCTATATGTGCGGTGTACATATGCGACTTGTTTCATGTAACTTAATAAAAATAATAAATAATAAAAAAATAGCGTTTTAAAATACGCTCAATATGATCTATTCTATGTTAAGACAAAAGGGGAATTAAAACAAAATTCTGTGACGAGCTGACGAGCTGGTTGTTTGTTGGGTGGTACACATTTATTGTCATTCATACTCGACTTAAATAACGCTTGTATTTAGATAGGTGTTAATCGAATGTTATTTCTGAGAATTCTTTCATTTTTGATATGCCTTTCTGATTTCTTTTTCTCCTAAGTTTGAAGTGAAAGTTGGCACCCTAAGTGATAAAATTGACGAGTCAGAATCACGTAAGCGTCAATTGCAGGAGACAGTGGATAGCTTAAATGCGGAGTTGGCAAAACTACGCGCTAATGAACAATTCATCACCGGATCTGGTCAACAAAATGAACAAATATTAGCTGGCCAATCAGCGATACGAGCGAAATTAGATGAAGAGTTTAAACGACAATCAGAGTATTATGCTGCTCAGGTGAAATCTCTACGTGATGAATTAGACGAGAAACAGAAGAAGTTGGAAGAATATAAGGAGTAAGTTGTCTGTTTCTTGATAGGTGTGTTGTGGAGATGTGGTCCACTGACTAGATCTAGCTGAATTTCAGCCCATATGTCCCTATCTACTTAACCCTGTCGAATTGTGAGTGGTAATTGGAGGCCTTCCTTCACCGAATCACTGGGTTGGTGTTAGGTCATACAACAGCCTATCTGAGTAAAAAGTGTGTTCAAATCAGCAACCAGCATGTATACTGTAAGAGCATATTAATTGTGATCTCTTAGCACGGGAGGTTGCTTTACTGTCTGTCAGCTAGTGAACAACTGCATGTACACGTACAACATACATACGACTGAATGTCCACGTATCGTATCACGATCGCAATGAACGCGATGGTTTGATGTTATTGGGTTTACTTTGCTTCGATAATGACCATGATAATGTTCATGTTCATCCCAGTGAATATTTTCCTTATTGTTTGAAACCGTACAGAAAGGTTCAGTTCAGTCTGCTCGGTTTCTCTGAAAAGGTAGACACATGTAAGGATTAAAACCAAATATGTAAATATTTTTGGCGTTTTGTACACATAATTATTTAGTTACAGCATTATGCGCAGTATCGACTGGACAGCATCGTTTTCAACTACAGACAGGAATTCATGGGTCATTGGATCGGGTCCAGGTGGCTGGTCTACGAGCTAGCCTTGTAACCAGAAGGTCCTGGGTTCGAACTCCGGTGGGTGCGTACTGTGAAGAGTCCCAGACTAGGCCGAAACAGCTGTGCAGTACTCCCAGGTCTTCCAGTGGTTCTCTAACCGATGTCAGCTCATGATGAAATCCTGTAACAGACAACATGATTAGATATGTGATTGGATTGGAGAAGCCGGACAGGGTTTCCTCACTGTCAACCTACTGCTCAACACATATACCGTAGTAGGTAGCCCAGGAAAGACTAAAGTGTGTGTAGGGAACCATAAAGAATAATTGATAAGATGGAAGAGTCACCAAATTGTAAAAGTTGAGGTTCAGTAGTTCCTCCCCATTTCTATTTTTACTCTATTTTATGCATTCACAGTGAAGCCAATAATTTCAAATTCCAATCCGAGAAATCACAAGAGGAGGTGAAACAGTTACGTGAAGAATTAGAGACAAAAACTAAACGGCTAGACACATTCGAGAAGACAGCTGAGAAACGTGAACAAGCCAAACAAGATCTACGTGGTTTGGAAGAGACAGTTATCAAAGAATTACAAACACTACACAATTTACGACGATTATTCATCCAAGATCTTAATAGTCGAGTTAAAAAGGTTTGTGATGTGTGAGACATGATAATGTTTGTCTTTCTTGATTGATATTGTGAATGTGTTTTATAAGTTGTAAATGTGGCATGTTATTGTCTCTCTGCTGCATCACACACCAATGTGGTGGCTATGGATGGAGTCATTTGGGATGGATGTTTTGTAGGATTGAAGAGGACGGAAACAAAAGATTTTCATGTATCATTGAAGTATAATTAGCTTATGCAACTCAACTGGTAGACCCTAATTTGTTAATGTGGAAAGTAGCTTCTTTTGTGATGCAGGTCATCTACTGCTGTAGGTTGATGATACCTATCTGACTGTCTGAATGTTAGTAGGTTATTCCTTAGAATTTAGACGTTAAAAGCACACTTGTAGGTGTGCTGTTTCAGCCACTGTTGATTTGGAGGTGGTGAGCGAGAAGCACTTGATGTGAGTTTGGTGCTCATCACCACTCATCAGCAAGGCGTATCCGCAGTCTCTCTTGAAGGAACTCATATCCCTTCTGAGATGGTAACGTAATGCTGCAGTGGCACACTTTACAGCTGATCTATTCGTGATGGCGATCGACCTCCTTTAGGACTGTGATGGATGGTTTGGTTGAACAGTAGGTGCTAACTAATTGCATATAAGATAAGTTTATTGCAAATATCACACAGTGATTGCAGTATTAATAAATGGATGACGTTTTGAGCACAAATCGCTACTCATAATCATATCACCTTACTCGCAGCCAAACGTCATTCAGTTATTAATCAATACTGCATCACGGTGTGATCTTTGAAATGGACCTATTTAATATCAAAATACATCCTACTACGGTGTTCAAGTTCTGCACTTACACCAGTAACTAGTGTCATGCGTCTAGTCCTTCGTTTGTTGCAAACTTTCGTTTCTACCTTGTGTCCAATCAAAGTACTGTTGGCTTCGTTTTTTAAAAAAAGAAATGCAATCTGTCCTCAAAAGACCTACCAAAACTTTGAGGACTGTTTATGTAATGTTTAATGGACTTCGGCAAATAGTCATCAAACAACTGTGGGAGAATACGTGTCTCATATTGTAGTGTAGCTGATTGTTGGTTTGAGAGGATTCTACTTTGAGCTGTGGACTCTGAGGTCGTAATCCCCCTCCACCTAATTGATTCTGCTAATGGATCTGGCTGATGTCCTGTTACATTGAGAAACTCATCTTGGGTAAGTGGATTGTCACAAATGTGTTCCTTTACGTTCCCAGTGGAACATAGGGCCCCATGCTAGAGGCTTAAAGTTTCGGTAGCGGTGTTGTTTACTTTTACGGGATGGGGTTGCTAGCCTCATACCCAGTCCAACTTTCCCTCTTTACCAATCTTATTACTGGCTTAACGAGGTAAAGGAGTGTGTCTGTGGCTGGGGATTGAACCCCGAACCACCTGCATGGTTGACAAGCATTCTACCGGTTTGTCGCCGACCCACGGATTCTCACCAATAAGTGTATATTATTTGTCCTAGGTCACTATCACATTGTTGATTGTCTGATGATTGCTCATGTATATATAGTTTTATAAGACTTGAACACTGTGGATTCAAGTGTAATTCCATGTTATTTATTTTTAAATTTGCCGATTTCTCTTTTAGTCTGCAAATCGTGTGAATGCACTGGCAGCGGCTGAAAAAGCTGCAGGTAACCAGCAAGGCGGTAATATGGCCAGTCAACAACAACAAATCTCCGAAAGTATATTCATGGACGATGATGATGATGAACCAGGTCAAGCTGGTTCACTGGCTCAAAGAGAGAAAATTGCCTTCCTTGAAAATAATCTTGATAAATTAACTAAAGTGCATAAACAACTTGTACATGACAATGCAGAGCTACGCTGTGAACTTCCTAAAATGGAAAAACGTCTTAAGGTTAGTTAGTTAGTTAGTTGGTTAGTAATTATCATTACCTTTTCTCTAGCTTGTCCTTTAAATGATAAACAGACTGTTCATTGTTGATTTCATACACTAACTGACATAAGCATCGGGATTTCGTTATGCAGCTAGGGCCTTGGAAATAACGAGGCGAGTTCGCTTGTAATCATTCAACTATTGGGATGAAATTCAACAACAAACTATGAATTCTAACTGCTGCCAAATAGAGTGATGTCGATGATTATCATGAAGAGAGGGCTCGATTGGTATTTACTGCCAACTTACGCCATCCCTGGTTTAGTACCCGTGATATCCTGCTGGCCTGGCTATGGGTCAAATGATGCATGTACTGTATAGCAGCCACATCAGCAGTTCGCTCCGTCCTCCTCTATAGCTGTGGTGACTGAGACATGGCCATTGGACGTGGAAGACATGAAAAGCCTGGCTAGCTGTCTTTGGTCATAGGTGTCTGTGTTCTCCACCCGTGTCTAATTCAACCTAAGCAGCTGGGTGGCTAGTAGCATCGTGTGAAGTCTTGATTTTTTGTCTATGTACATACCTTAATACTTTTGGAGTTGACGTTATGAATTGTTGGAGAGGTAGACTGTCTTTCAGTAACTATTAGTGTGTGTGCTTTGCCCTGGCTGGTCTTGACTGACACTATAGTTTTCAGTGTCACTCGAGAAATAATGTAGTCATGTTCAAGAGTTATTTTGTAGACATCCGAATTGTTTGAAGTTTGACACGAGTTAACGAATTATTGGAAAACCAAGGTAATGTACTGGACAGTTGTGTGGTTTTAGCTAGTTTGGGATTCTTCAGCAGTACGCATCCATCGGTATTTGAACTCTCAGGACCATCCGTTTCTGGACACTAGTAACTGAGCAAATCCTGGCCACGGATGACATTGGATTATGACAGTCGAGGTAAAATTGCGATTTGGAAGAGGTTAGAATTCATGTGGCAGTGGATTCGATCCCGGTGTCGGAATGGTCTGCGAGCTTGACTTGTGATTGGTAAATCATGTTTGCGTACTACTGAATAATCCGAAGCTGGGGTGGAACAGCCCCCTCCCAGTACTCACTTCCGGGTTCTCCAAATGGTTCTCTGAGTGATGTTAGCTTGTGATAAAAACTGCAATGTAGTCATCATTAAATTTAAAAGGGAAGTGAGTGTTTGAAGTCTCATGTGAATAATAATAATGTGTGAAGAAATTAGTGGATAGGTGAAATTGATCTACGAGAAATTGAATCTCCTGATCTCACGATTGTTCATAGCGGCATAAATGAAGTGTTGTACGGGTTCCTCTGGACACTGAGATACTATTACTGTTTGAGGACAATTTTTCACTGACAAGCATTCTAATAATACAGATGAGAAATCCGTTTAAACGTCAATGGTTATATCGCCGCCTATTTTGTCATGTTTTCTTTCTTTCTTTCTTATAGTGTACTCTGGAGCGTGTACGCAGCCTAGAGTTATCTTTGAAAGAGGCTAAGGAAGGAGCTATGCGAGATCGTAAACGTTATCAAGTTGAAGTAGAACGTATTAAAGAGGTTGTCCGTCAACGGAATATCACTGGACGTCGTGGTCAATCACAAATCGCTAAGCCTATACGCGCTGGACATGCACCAGTGTCCACTGCTGGCGGTGGTGGTGGGACAGCAGTGACACGACCAGATATTCCAGGATCATCATAATCTCTCATATATACACGTGGTGATTATTTTTCTATATGTGTACATATGCTTTCTTTTGGAGTTCCATCTTGGCAGACTTTTGCATAGATATATATATGCGCACTTGAATTTATGCTTTCATATATATATATATATATATATATATATATATATCGATTCAACCTGTTATGTTTACAACAAGTAGAATGTCCACGATGCTGCCTATACACAATACCCACAATGACTGTGAGGAGCCTTAAGAACGAAGAAGTATATGTAACATATACACATATATACATATATGTTCGTCCCCGGTGGTTGTTTGGCGGTTCATTGGTTGCTTTCTTTTTGGTTCCCCCACCTACTCACTAACTAACTAACTAACTAATTTATTGATCACAGTTAACTTTATTTCATTCTTAGCACACTACAACAAATCATGGTCACATATTATATTATGCAACATACCTGCACACATACACACAAGTTTATCCATGACTCTATCGATTGCTTTGAGTTGTTTTTTTTGTGACTTCTTCTTTTTTCACTGATGTGTTGTGTTGTTTTATAACTTTCGTCTGACTGACTTTATTATTGTCGTGGATCTATTCTTGTTGTCACACACATTCATACATTTATTGATTTTGTCTGTGTGTGTGTGTGTTTGCGCGTGCGTGCGATTGTGCTTATTACAGAACGAGCGAGCCCGCTGATTGCGCACCTTTTCTCCGCTCACTCACTCTCTCTCCTTCTCTCTTCGCGAATTTATTTATTTTGTGATCAAGACAAAATATGCGCCAATTTCTGCGTGTATACAAACACACACACACTGCAGTTAAATTGTATTTTGAAAGGGAGGGAGGAGGAGAAAAGCGCGCACGGTGGAATAATTTTTTAGGATGCTAGTAATGACAATTGTGATGCGATTGATCAGTTGCTAAAGAAGGAAGTGTAAGCCAAGCCCCCTAAGTAGAGAAAGAAAGTTATGAGTAAAAAAAACACTTTTATGCAGACATGTGGTGGTGTGTGATATGTAATGCTTCATCGGCTTCTTTTCTAGTTCTTTTTCTCATGTTTGTGATAACAGGATGCAGATGAGACGCTATGTGCTCGTGTGGCGGTGGGTGGGTGTCTTTCTGTCTGTCTGTTCCCCTTACTCATCGCAGATATTTATATTTTTGTTAACTTCTCCTGACCGCTCTGTGTGTGTAGTAGTCATTTATATACATGTAATTTCGAATTCTATGTTCTATGTACTTACCTCTGAGGCTGGAAGAAACAGAGAGAGAGAGAGATGGGGTCGTAGAGAGAGGGGGGGGAAATGAGTACTCTTCATTACACATACATTGATATCCTTTACATATATATGTATGTATGTATTGGTGTGTTTTTATGTTTGTGTATGGTCTTATTATTTTTTTGCGGCTTTTTTGATTTCATCGCCTTTATGTTTCTTACGCATCATGGTTGGATTGGATTTTATGACTTTATTCAACTTTTATTTGCCATGTATATTATCTAATATTTTTTAATAATAATATTAACTTATTATTATTATTACTATTATTATTATTTATGGTTATGAAGTGCATACCATATTGGTTACTACTACTATTATTATTCTTATTCTTATTTGAGTCGATTAAAAAAAAAGCATAATTTAATGTAAAAGGTAAATTTTTTTTCTCGTGTTTTTTTTAAAGTTTTGGCGAATCAAAACAAATCTGTACTGTCTCAGTGATATCCGTTCCATGTTCTTTAGGGTCTATCTGTCTGTTTTCGACATAGAACTTTGCACATATGTGCGGCAGTTCAAGTCGCCACACTTCATGTAGCACACAAAGCAAGAGGGGAAAGTAGAAGGAATGCATAATACAGACAGTAAACAGAGGTGTGAGACATAGGAATAGTAATAACGAAGAACAAAGCAGTTTCATTGGAAATCACAAGTCACAAGGAGTGGATGCGTCTGGTGCCATGTTTTCGTTTGACCGCCGCTAGCTCTTTTCCAGCCTGGCCTTATGTCAGCTAACATTGCCCATTGTCGAGGAAGGCGATGACTAGGCATACGTAACACATGTCCTAACCATCTCAGTCGATGTAATTTCACAGTCTCGTCGACTGATTTCCACTCTCACGTACCTAGCACTCGATGCCTAATCTCAATATTGCTCACCCTATTATACCACTTCACATGGGAGATAGAACGCAGACACCTATGATCAAAGACAGCTAATCAGCCTTTTTATGTCTTCCGCTCTCAATGGCCATGTCTCAAAGCCATAAAGGAGGACAGAGCGGACTGCTGAGCAGTACACACGCCCTTTGGTCGATAGTTGGACATCACGTCTATGCTAGAGACGGCGTAAACTGGCATATGGGAAACTAGCCCTGTGTATTCGTGCTGAGATTTCGTCAGAGGTCAATCCGTTGGCACTGGCTGATGGTACTTCCCAAGTAAGTGAAGCGGTCAACGTGCTCTACCACTTCACTTCCTATTTCTAATCTAGGGGTCGGTGTAGTGATAACATTGACTGGTGTCAGTCGCGCTGAAATCATGAATTGGTTGGGCAGAAATTAGAATTCATAGTTAGTTATTGGGTCATTGAATAGTTGAGCCCTCGTGGTTGAATGGTCTGTGAGTTGTTCGCCTCGTCTTTTGATCGGAAGGTCCTGGGTTTTGAACCTCAGCTGTGGGAGTGTGTAGTGACGATGATTCCCAAGGTAGGCTGACGAATCATCCGTTCAATACTCCTCACTAGTTTGAAATGGTCCTCTCACTGAAGTTATTTCGTAATCATATTGTTTCCTTTAATTCCTAGAGGAACATAGGGCTTCAGCCGTGCTTCTCCATTGCGTTCGGTTCTCTGCTAGAGTTTCCACCTGGCTACAAGTCTGCCCACACGTTTTCATCTCCTCTTCACATGACCTCCTCCAAGTCACCCTCACACTGACAACCAACTCGCCGCTTCCCTTTCGGGTTCCACTGGAGCAACGGCTTGTCTAGTGATGTCACTCACTTGATGGTTTCCTCAGAGTATGGCCAGCCAATCCATCTCCATTTCCTTCTGCTTATTTGTTTCACAATCGGTTCCTGGTTGGTTCGTTCATTGCCAGAGATCCCTGTTGCTGATCTTTTCTGGCCGGCCATCTTATCTTGAGTATTGAGCGAAGACAACTGTTAATGAAGGTCTGTAGTTTGTTTGAGATGCTCTTTATGACGCGCAGTGCAAGTCTCTGATCCGTATAGTAGCACTGACTGACTTCACATTGGAGTTGAAAATCCGGATCTTATCTTTGTTTTGATGCTGAGCAGTGCTGTTGACCTCCACACAGACTTGAGAGTAGTGAAAGCTTGTCCTAAATAACTCTTGGAAAAAGGAAATCTTATTTAGTGTTATTAGAAGATGGAGATTATCTGGAAAATGTGATGTATCTGCTCCATACATTTCGAACAATCTGACCCCTGACACACGTGTACTCGTCAAGTCAATTTATGTGAAAAATGAGACAGGCCAATTAAAAATATACAAAGTGACAAAGAGAATAATTCACACAACATTTGGTTGTCTAAGCAGATAATTTACAGAAAGTCTACTTGGACAGGGCAATACTTCAATTTTCGCAACTTCTACCCACTAGAGTATAAAAAAAGGCTAGATAAATTGTTTTTTTTGAGAGAACTAATTCAGCGTATTTGTACAGCTGATGAATACTCTTGATGATATTAGATAGTTGGAGGCAATCGGCCACAGGAGGTCAATGGCGAGCCCGATTAGCTCAGTGGTGTGACATCTCTGAATACAGCGATAGGTGGTGATGCGGTTTCGAATCTCCAAGGGGAGGGACATGAGTTCCTTCAGTGGGATTGCAAATACGCCTGCCTTGCTGACTACTGGTGAGTGGCAACTAGCACGAAACCTAGGTCCATACAGTGCATCCTGTGGCCGATTACTTCCAACCACCTAGTACCAACAATTCACAGTGCACCATGATGGCGAGCCACCTAGTGGCATGGTTGCCACATTGTAAAATTGACTGATGGAATTCAGTCTGCATTAAATATAGGACTAGACGCACACGCTACACTAGTTACTGACTAGTGTCCAATCAAAAGCAACCCTGAATCTATTGCCCAACAAATCGGCAAAACGAAACTGAGATAAAACTGAACATACGCTGAGGAGGTCATTGAGCGACACTACGTGCTAGGCAATCCCTCTAGTGGAACATGAATTGGACACAACGAGATGGGCTTCGATTTGAGGGTTCCATGAAGAAGATTAAAGCTTACGGACAATCGTGCAGCCAGATAGAAATTCAAAGAACAGGGTGAAATAGAGATGCCCTTCTGAAGAGCTATGTTCCACTGGAACCCTATATATATATATATATATATATATATATATATATATATATATATTTACAGGTAGGTAGTTACCTTGGGTTCCAGTGGGAAGTTGTGACCAATAAATTACAGCAGGTCGGGTGTGACGACAAATAGTCGCCGCCGAAGACATTGGCTAGTGCCAGTCGTGTTACTTCGTGAATTGGCACAAATTAGAATTCATGCACTGGTCATTGCATAGGGTCCCAGTGTCTTAATGGTCTACGAGATAGCTCGCCACCTTGTAAGCAGAAGATCCTAGGTTCGAACCCCAGTGAGGTGGGTACGTACTGATGAAGAGTCACAAACTAGGACAACAGAAACAGCTGTCCAGTACAGATTTTCCGATGACCCTCTAACTAATGTCAGCTCATAATGAAATCCTGTAACCAATCAAATCAAGTCACTAGAAACACACTGTAGCACTCCAGAGGTGAAAAGAATGGAAGAAAAATACCTACTAACAACCGTCTTCAAAAAGAATGGATATCCTCACAGTTTCATCGAAAAGTGTTTAAAATTGAGTTACAACACGAACAACAAGAAACCATCATCAAAGACTACAAGAAAATTCATTCCACCATATATAAGCGAAAATATCTCTCAAATAACAGCTAGAATACTGAAACCGTTTGATATAGATATAGCAAACAAGCCAGTCAAATCACTTCATTCTATATTGTGCAAACTGAAAAATCCAACAGAAAAAAGAGATAGAATTAGACCATTTACAAAATGAATTGCATGATCTGTAGCCGACATTACATCGGTCAAAATTGGGCGTCTCCGTCGAATCAGAATCCAGAAACTCAAATCAGCTGTGAAAAGACATGATATATAGATAATTATGGACACCAATTTGATTGGGATAATGCCGAAATTTTAAATAGAGGAAACACCAGACAGTAGTGTCAGAGAATTCCTAGAACCCTGGTACTCAAGTGAATCAGCGATTAATAAACATACCAATATAGACCAAATCTACCACCTAATAAAAAGTAAATTATGTGACAAGAAAGTTCAAATTCCAAGTCAATAAAAATACGATCAATACAGATGTAAATCGACTACCAGTCACGAAGATGGTTGCTAGGCGACGCCATTCTATCATTATTCATGGAGAATTTAAATCTGTTCATTTTATGGTTAAAACTTGCACTGAAAGGGGAATGTTGTCCAGAAGGACGACGAAAGATTGGCGATTAAACCAACCAACCAGCTCAGAGAACACAGCTAACTGCAAGTTATGTCAGCTGGAAATGTGAAAAATGATTTATGTGTTTTCTTAATTACTTTTCCCATCATATAGAATGCACGGCAAATATGTTATCTTTGAGTTTTCTTTATTTAGTCATGCGAAGATAATTATTTCTACTTCTACCTAATGGTGAAATGTAGGGAGAGAGTTGTGTTCTGTTCTGTTCTGTTTTCAACATAGAACTTTGCACATATGTGCGGCAGTTCAAGTCGCCACACTCCACTCCTTGTAGCACACAAAGCAAGAGAAGAAATGCATAATAAAGACAGTAAACAGAGGTGTGAGACAAAGGAATAGTAATAACGAAGAACAAAACAGTTTAATTGGAAATCATAAGTCACAAGGAGTGGATGCATCTGCGCCAGCCATTGAGAACGAAGATTTTGAGCCATGTCACCAATTGTTTCCAACCATTGGTTTTTACCGTCCCGAGGACCTCAACCAGTCAGGAAGTCTACACCTTCCTACGTGGCTGGCTTGCTGCTTAAACTAACTGTTGTGGATTTCATTGACTGATGAAGCCATGTTTTGTTTTGACCATCGCTAGCTCTTTTCCAACCTGACCCTATGCCAGATAACATTGCTCATTGTCGAGGAAGGCAGGTGATGACTAGGCATACGTAACACATGTCCTAACCATCTCAGTCGATGTAATTTCACAGCCTCGTCGATTGATTTCCCCTCCTTACTTAGCACTCGAACGATGTCTAACCTCAATATTGCTCACCTTATTATACCACTTCACACGGGAGATAGAACGCAGACACCTATGATCAAAGACAGCTAATCAGCTTTTTTATGTCTTCCGCTCTCAATGGCCCGGTCTCACTCACAGCCATAAAGGAGGACAGAGCGGACTGCTGAGCAGTACACACGCCCTTTGGTCGATAGTTGGATATCACGTCTACGCGAGAGACGGCGTAAACTGGCATATGCGAAACTAGAGTTGTGTATAAAGAAAGAGAGTCCGACAAGATAATGTTTAGCTGATTTCTTGCCTTTGTCCATGTGTCTGTCTACAGCAGTA